AGTCTCATTTTGTAGATAATTTTACTCCCTACAAGCTGTCCGTGAGTCACTTTTCGCTAAAATTGATGGTTTTCCCTGCAAAGTGAAAAAACTGTTTTCCTCACTTATTTGTTTAAATAGAAAAGTTAGCTAATAAAAGTTTTTGATTCACGAGACGAGAGATGTCTTGTATTATGTTCCTTTAGACAATTTTACAGTAATATCGCGGATAGGACTTTTTTCGAGTTTCTCTTTTATTTTCGCTAATTTTCCTGGTGTATAGGTATTCATCTGGTCTTTAGTGTCCGAATCTATACTACTTACTAAACAACCGTCAGCTGTAGATTTGATACAAGAACATACAAGTTTGACATTAATTGATCAAGTTAACTGCATCTAGATAGAAATGGACACATAGGTCAAGGAAACTGTTACATTTTGAATTATTTAGAGCTTCAGTCTTCGTGAAACTAATAAGATCTACTCTAGTCGAATTAGATCTTAAAAGTTGAAAACTTGAAAAAATTATTAGTAGACATTTTATTGTCACGGGGAAGTGTATGTAGAATGATAATATCAAAAAAGTAACTCGAAAGAAGTGACGCTAAGTTGGCAAATTTTCGTGTTTTTTTTTCACTTTTTTACTGCCTACGGAAATCTAGCTGACATATCGGAAAAATAGTTGTTTTATGTAGGTAAATAGCTGATTCCATAGCTCTTGCTTTTTTCCGAAACAATCTTGCAGAGAGTTGCCTTTTATCAGGAAAACGTTGCCGATACTCTCTTTGAGCCGCCATTACAGAAACCATAAATAAAATGCATATCGGCATATTCACGGTTAGTAAAAGCATGATGGTTCATGGTTGTAAAAAAATCGTATGAAATGCAAAGTTGAGCACAAAGATCACAGCCAAGAAAATAAAGAAACATAAGAATTTAAATCATAGCACGCGAAAGTGACAATCATTAGTATCATTACAATAAAACTGTCACTATGAAAGATGCCTACTGTATAAAAATGTTTTAAAAAATGTTATTGTTCTGAGCCATACAATATTTAAAAAATAATTATTTCTGGACCCCGAAAACCCCCGTACACCAAATTTGCTGCGATTCTCTTATATTTTGTAAATTTGGTCGGCCATCTTGGATCTGCCATTTTGAATTTTGCAAAATTGACCTCGGATTCGTGATCAGCGACCCAGAAAATCCCAGTATACTAAATTTGGCGCGAATCTGTTATTGTTTAAAAATTCATAATATCTGACTTTAATTGACCCGTTTTTTTGAGGTTAGAAAAAGAACCATTAATGCGGACCGCAGATTCACGTTGGGCGGGGTCTTAACTATATAAATGAACATTTGAATATAGAAAAAAAAAATTGTATTTTTCCTAGCACTTTTTCATGAATTTTTGCTATTTTTTACCTGTTTTTTGAGGTTAGGAAATTCTGACACCGGATTCGTGATCAGGAGGCAAAAATACTACAGATAACATATGTTGCATGAAAAATACAGACTACTTTTCTTTTTTGTGTGGCTGTGTTATTCAAAGGAATAAAAAAAATTCGAAAAATTTCTGGTAAGAATAGTTAGAAAAAGAAAACTATCCTTATTTATAACCGATTTTGATGAAACTTATGGTGGTTAAAGACCCTTATGTTATGTTTGTTACCTACAATTTTCATTCCGTTATCTTAATCAGAAAGAAAGTTATTTTAAAAAATATCCGAATGTTAAGACCCCTTTGGAGTGCCATATCTCAGTAACGGTGCTCCGGAGGACCAATCTTTATAGGAACTTTTTTTACTATTTTTGGCTCTACTTTCACCCCCCTTATTTTGTATTGTATTTTGTACCAAATTTTCCAAACACCCTGTATAATAATTAATTTTCCGATAGGTCGTCTGGATTTTCTTGGGCAGCAAAAGAAAGTAAAAAAACACGTAAGTTTGCCACTTATTTGCAAGTTACCAATTTAGCGACACTTCTTTCGAGTTACTTTTTTGATATTATCATTCCACATGCCCTTCTTCGTCATAAATGTCTACTAATAATTTTTTCACGTTCAAGCTCTAATTCGACTGGAGTATCCAAACCAAATCAATATCTCAATAGTTTGATTACTATCCGATTCCGGAAAAAACTATTAATTTGTACGAAATTTCAATCGTCTAAAATATTTGGCCTTGTATCCACTTAAATCAGATACTCAATAGTCATGAATTATTTAAACTTTATTGAGTGATGAAGCTTTCAGTTCTTTTAGAAACCATGGACAGTCGTATTTTAAAGGAAATGGATGTACTATAATTTAAAATCTATATAAGTGCTGCCATCTAGCGATAAAATATTATATCAAAGTTAAATACGTGTAGATATCTTTAGCAATACAAACTATTCATGGAGAGGTCACAGCTTAATAACACACAGCTCGAAGAGTCCGTGTCGGCGTCTTTGATGTGGCGGTCGAGAACCAAGCGAGACGGAATCGTGCTAACTCTCTCAGATTAAGCGGAATAGTCGGGGCTGGATTAAAAGAATTTTTATTATTGAAATAAAATATTTAGTTTCTACCTGACAGTACCGTAGTAGGTAATTTTAATAATATGAAATTTGAATTAGAATATTACGTGGTATGACATTAAAAGTAGAAAATGGGTATTTTAGATAGGTAATAGGTTTTGTACTTGGAGTTAATACGGATTATTAAAAGAAAACTTGAAGAGTAATTAAAATTCCTTGTTGTAAGCTCCTGTTTACTGACGTAATCCTTAGAGAAGAAAATGGTTAAAATCGCGTTTTTTTCGAACAAAAAATCGTTAATATCTCGAAAACGGTAGATTTTAGAGAAAAGTTGCATATGAACATTTTTGTTCAGGATACCCCAAAAAGCCTATAAAAATGTATTTCGAGCGAAAAAATCGAAAATTACGAATTTGTTTAAAAAAAATTGTTTAAACAATTTTTGACCATTAGTAACGTCTGGCAACATGCGGATATGATTCAAGGGTCATTTTTTAAGTAAGATTATGAAAAAAAATTCGAATGAGAATCATGTTCCTAGCGGGAGCAACGATACAGCCTGGACTAATACTTATACATATTATAAAACATACCTACAATATAATATACAAAAAAATATAATAACATAATATATAGTATTAAAAATATAATCATTACAGATTTCTCCATTATTATAAGTTTATTTTTTGAATATTCCTAAAATTTTGGTTTATAGTTTATAACGTATAATAAATTCTAACCCTTAAATATAACCTAAGTACAAATTCTTTCGGAAAAGAATGACACGGATGACTAAAAGGTAGTCTTTTAATTAATTCAAGAAATGTGCTACAAATGTTATTTTTTGTGGATAATTGTTCAAAATTATCTTGAAATATCTTTTCAGTGTTACAAATGAGCTCAACAAAGTTATCGTTTGGCATTTGCAATTGTCCAAATAAGGTATCTTCATTTTCATTATTATATAAAATAAAAATAAATCAACGAAATTATACCCACGCCTATGATTGCAATTCTTACCACCCGTTGTCGTTACTCGCCTGAACGAACGCCAAAGCCGTCTTTTCCGCTGGAAGGCGGGGCATAAACGCTGCGCGACGAAATCGACGCTAACCGTTCCCGCCAAGACAGTTGCGAAGCTGTATAAGCTGTGGAGAGCTATTCTTACTGAACTGATTCCTAATATCAAACATAGTTCCAATAATTAACAATATTTAACAGGGAGGTTAATAATTGTTTTTTGTGTACCGGGATCAAAATTATATTTGAGAAATTTCAGATTCAATAGAGTTTCTAAAGTTTGGTATCGTAAATATATTAATCAAATGCTACTTGTTTATTGTGCATTTACAAAAAAAAGTTGCACCCAATATGAGCATTTACAAGAATTTTATAATTCAACATTGACTTGTTTCCAATTTCTCAGCTGCTGAAATAAGTTGTTTCTTTTTTTTATTTATTGGGATTAGGTGATGCAATAAAACAGCAAGGTAATTGCAAAAATTTATAAAATATTTGTGCACAGTAAATATTAGATATATTTAAATTCGTATTATCAGAAAGCACAATGGTTACTAGATTATAAGTACGATAAATTAATACATAATTATAAAAACGCTTTAAATTAAAATAAGATTAAGTCCGCTTCTCATCAACACCCGATCCTAGTGTAATTTGTTAATATTATCGCGCCTAAGACTAACATCTTATATCGTAAAATTATTGATCAAGTAGACCGGCATGGGCATAACTTTCTGAAAATGCTGCATTGGTAATCTAAAAGAGCAGTATTTAAAACATACATAAAGCTACACTTGATGTTAGCCTTAAGTCCTCTGAAGGAATTACAAAAGACAGAGTATAAATGCAGTTCTGCCAGGATAGATCACTTAATTTTTGGTATACTAATATTCGTCGCCTTCGTCAGCTTCGGCCTCAATGGAATCCACAGCCACCTCCTCGTAATCCTTCTCAAGCGCTGCCAAGTCTTCTCTGGCTTCGGAAAACTCTCCTTCCTCCATTCCTTCACCAACATACCAGTGCACGAAGGCCCTCTTGGCGTACATAAGGTCGAATTTATGATCCAGACGGGCCCAGGCTTCGGCTATAGCCGTGGTATTGGACAACATACACACGGCGCGTTGGACTTTGGCCAAGTCACCCCCTGGCACCACAGTGGGTGGTTGGTAGTTGATGCCCACCTTGAATCCAGTGGGACACCAATCCACGAATTGGATGGTGCGTTTGGTTTTGATGGTGGCGATAGCGGCGTTCACGTCCTTTGGTACGACGTCTCCTCTGTCAAAAATAAATCATAGCGGGCTTGGAATATAACACTGAAAGAGACATACCTGTACAACATGCAGCAGGCCATGTATTTTCCGTGTCTAGGATCGCATTTAACCATCTGATTCGCCGGCTCGAAGCAGGCGTTGGTGATTTCGGCGACTGTCAGTTGTTCGTGGTAGGCTTTCTCGGCTGAGATTACAGGAGCGTAGGTGGCTAGTGGGAAGTGGATCCTAGGATATGGTACCAGATTTGTCTGGAATTCCGTTAGATCCACGTTCAGGGCACCGTCGAAGCGTAAAGATGCAGTTATGGAAGAAACAATCTACAAAAGAAAAAACATTGAACTTGGCGCCCAACAAAAACATTATGATTATATTTTATTAGATTGGAGTTGTGTTTTTACCTGCCCGATAAGCCTGTTCAGGTTGGTGTAAGTGGGTCTCTCGATGTCTAGGTTTCTTCTGCAAATGTCGTAAATGGCCTCGTTGTCTACCATGAAAGCGCAGTCAGAATGTTCTAGGGTGGTGTGCGTTGTTAAAATGGAGTTGTATGGTTCTACTACGGCGGTAGAAACCTTAAAAATGGATAAATATAATTTGCAAGTATGAAGAAAATGTGCATATATTTACTTGTGGAGCAGGGTAGATTGAGAATTCTAGCTTGGACTTCTTTCCATAGTCAACACTGAGTCTTTCCATCAACAAACTTGTGAATCCTGAGCCAGTACCTCCTCCAAAGGAATGGAAGACTAAAAATCCCTGTAATTCGTTCATATGTATCAGTGTGACGAAGATTCTTTGTAGTAAGCTCACATTTCAGTTAAAATTTTGCAAGAAAATATAAAGAATGTGCTCACCTGCAGTCCAGTGCATTGATCAGCAAGTTTGCGCAACCTATCCAAGACGACGTCGACGATTTCTTTGCCTATGGTGTAGTGACCTCGAGCGTAGTTGTTGGCAGCATCTTCCTTTCCGGTGATGAGTTGCTCCGGGTGGAACAATTGCCTATATGTTCCGGTTCTGACCTCATCTATAAAAATTTTATTGCGAAACTGCTTAAATATTCATACTTAGATCAACATCTTGTTCATTTAACGTTTAGTGTTTTCATACAAAAAAGACTCACTTTGTCAACTGAAAATTTAACAAAAATGTCGACTTTTGATTAAAGTTTTCGAAAAAACAAATATTGGCATTTCATTATCCTATCTAGTAACATAGTCCAGACGGTATCTGTTTCAAAGAATCCATATTTGGGTGAATCGTATATCCACGGAGATATTTGGCTTTTTGGCTTTCAAATATCACTAGAAATTAAAAATTTTCTATGCGCATAAAAAAAACGTGGACCTACCTTTTTGTGGCACAATATGTTGAAAAAAATCGCAAAAATGTCATTTTTTTCCCTATTTAATTATGTATCTTTTCATGAGTTGATTTTAGGCGAAAATGGAAGAGGAAAAAAATGTTTGTAATTAAATTTTACAAAATATGACTAGTTACAAATCGAATGAATCATGATTATTATTGTAAAAAACCAAAAAATCGCCAAAAATGGGGTTAAAAAACATTCATCAAAATCGGTTCGATAGATTTTGCATAATAATTTTGCAATCCAGATTTTGAAAAAAAAATTGCAAATTTTCAAAATTTTGCACAGCAAAAACCAAGGCCCTTAGATACTTGAAAATTTAATCACATATAGAAGGGCTCTCAAGCTTTCAAACGCTTTTTGAAAAATTCGAATCCGTCAATTAGGAGAACTCTGGCGCTTGTTAAACATTGGCGAATTTTTGTACTATAATTTTGTATTTTTGTAATATAATGAGTTAATTTCTCATTTGCTTATATTTTAAACAGTAAATAATATTTGAATTATACTTTAGTCACAAAAGAAATGAAGATTAAATTAATAATTAAATAATTAATTAATTAATTAATTAATTAATTACTAATTTTCGACATATTTTGAAAATAAATGTTGTTTAAACAATTTTAGAATATTTATTTTTTTTTTCCTTGATAAACAGTGTATAAGTTTATGCACTTATCTTTGATACAATAAAAAAATAAAGTTGATAATTAAAGGAAGTTTAAAGATAAATAATCATCGGACTGTTGAAAGACCAATAATTTATTAATGATAGGCATTCGAAAATACCCTAATTGTTTTTTTTTAATCGCAAGACATCGATTTAAAAAAAAATCAACAAAATCGGACCTCTAAAATTTTTTAAGTGCGTCGCAGTTTTGAACTCGCCGATTGAATTTCGAGCAGGCCGAAGCGGCCGCGCTCTCTGCTTCCCCCACCACCACCACCCGTACGATTTTCTTGAATTTGTCGCTTGTATAAATAACTTTAAACGCGTTTTAAAGTAGGTTGCCAATGAAGAAAAGTATTGCAAACTTAGACCTGGTAATAATTCGGAATACCAAAGCTATTTTTCGAAAAATTAGCCCGGATGTCCCAGTCTATTTACTGTAAATGACGGTTAACTTTGATCGGCTATAACTATGTAACTAATTGACCAACCGATCTGTTTTTTTTTAAGAAGCGTCTTTTCAATAACTTTTAAAACCAGCTTTAAAAAATTTGATTTCATTGAATATTCACAAAGTTATTCTAATTGTTTATAAGTACAAAAATTCGACAATTGTTTAAACAAGCGCCAGAGCTCTCCAATTTGACGGATTCGAATGTTTCAAAAAGCGTTTGAAAGCTTGAGAGTCCTTCTATATGTGATTAAATTTTCAAGTATCTAAGGGCCTTGGTTTTTGCTGTGCAAAATTTTGAAAATTTGCAATTTTTTTTATTATTATGCAAAATTTATAGAACCGATTTTGATGAAATTTGTTGTGATGATTCTACATAATATAAACTTTTTTTGAACCAAGTATGAAGGTCCTGTACCCAACTTAAAGACCCCCAAAAATTCCCTAAAAAATAATGTTTTTAACCCAATTTTTGGCGATTTTTTCGATTTTTACAATAATAATCATTCGATTTGTAACTAGTCATATTTTGTAAAATTTAATTGCAAACATTTTTTTCCTCTTCCATTTTCGCCTAAAATCAACTCTTGAAAAGATACATCATTAAATATGAAGAAAAATATGACATTTTTCGAATTTTTTTAACATATTGTGTCGCCAAAAATTAAGCCCACGTTTTTTTATGCGCATAGACAAATTTTCATTCCTAGTGATATTTGAATGCCAAAAAGCCAAAAATCTCCGTGGATATACGTTTCACGTAAACCAAAACAGATACCACCTAGTCTAACAGTATTTGTTTTGCAAAAAATATTTTACGACAGAAGAATGGCAATTCGATTGGTAGGTACTTACAGTGAACATGCAACTTCCTGGCATGATTGACAAGCAAATAAATTATACACCTCTTCGTTGCTAGGGTTCATTTCCCTCGGTATTAAATTTTCATATAGACAGCAATTATGTTATTAATACAACTACGAAATATTGACGAATGTACACCGTGAATCGTTTTGCATGGCAGGAATGGTACCAATTTCTCCCTCATTATTTATGTGATGTCACGTACTGTCTCTGGTTCAGGATATTTTCTCTAAGAATGTGATTTATAACTCACCTTGGCAATGAATTTTAATTTAGGAGAAATATTACAATTACGTTCAAATAGTCGGCAAAATCGACTAAAATAAACCACGGTTGCCGTAAAAAGCAAAATACTGCTAATTGAATGTGTCACCGCGTAATCGTATCCTTTCCAAATACCCTTAAGTGTGTCAATAAGGAAAGAAACGGCTTAAATTTCACAGTCTGTTCAGCAGAAATAAAAAATTTACAGGAAGGCGATTGACCAAGCAACTTAATACTTCCACTTCCTCTGCCTAGGAACGATGTCGTCGAGGGCAAAGGGAGAGCTGAAACCACCGCCCACAAGGGGTGTATTAGTCATAAAATGAAAAAAAATTAGCTATCTTTGTGGAAATCTTGCTGTGCTTCTACAAGTAGGCACGACATTTGAGAATTCGCCTTAAATATACTAAAATAGGCGCTTTGTGATAGCGAATATTTTTTAAACGAAGAGAAATTTATGTAAAAATGCGGTTTTTATGATAAAATAGTTTCATAAATAAAAAAGAATTGAAAGACTAGATAATTATTTCATTTCATTTCATTCGAAAATATTTTTTCTCTATAGTAAAAACTTTTTATAAATGTCATTTGAAAAAATCAGGACAACTGGAAAGGCTGTGTTGGACGAAACAATGAAGTTTATTTCAGTTAATTTAAAAAATATATAAAAAATATTTAATTATTTATTTATATTTCAAGTTATTTAACTTTTTTTTCTTTTGTTATTTTCGCCCAAATAAGCATATGTACCAAAACAATTCCAAACATCGTTACTTTGTCATTAGTATGATATAGAAATATATTCGCCTCTAAGTCATCGACAATTACAGCAGCAATTATGAACTGTCGGACATCAAATCTTTGCTCGAGGCTACTGACCTCCTGTAAAAAGTTAACGATCTAAAAAACATTTCTTTCCTAATACAGGTACCTCTCCAATACCTCCGTAGCACAAACCAATTCCCAAAGCTGTTCTGAAAATAGAAATATCTTGTTCTTTTTACATTATTATACTTAGAAAAACAGTTTAAGAAAAGTCTTCCATCACTACGAATGTAAAGTAAGGTACTAATTATCTGATCACGTTTTGGAAATGTTAATATTTTTACAATTGTTGTTTCAGTCTTTTATTTTGAATTTCTTAATATTTTTTTATTAACGGATTTGTTGACCTTCCGGATATAAAACCAGACTGTTTAATGTGAATAATTGAACTCGTCACAATAAGTGATATGCTGGGAGAAGGGTCAGTTTTATTGAATCGTGGAGTAAATAGAGGAAGGAACCCCTAACACCATAACGTATTCGAACGGATGGACAATATGCTGTTCTATAATAGATGAATAAAACTGATTACGCTTTGGTTCTGGTGAACAATTATAGACTGAATTGCTGCATATATCTGTATAAATGTGGCTAGTATATAGGGTGTATCAATTTTGTTCCGCAGCGTCTTTCTGTTACTTCAAAAAATAAGTAAAATATAACTTCCGTATGATGTGACACGAATATCAAAATCAAGAATCATAAATAATATTAGCTTTTATACTTTTAAAATTATATATAATGGAATAATAAATAAATATACTAGGATCGTATTCGATGCAAAGTAAAGCAAAAAGTTGTCGGTCTTTTATCAAAGGAAAATCGTGTCATCATTTTTAGGAGGCGTAAGATGAACCATTTCAAATTTAAAATGAAATTGAATGTAAAATCTGAAATACCGCTGCATACGCACTGTGTTCTGATAGTAGCTGTAGTCGCCCAGGTGCATCGAGTGTACGAAGTGGTCGGTTATACGTCAAATACTAACCTGGTGAGCTTGGTTGTAAATCACAGAGCGCCTACAAAAAACAAGTAAACAACAGTGGCGCGTACAGAGGTAAAATGTTATACATATGTGGAAATTAAAAAACAAATTGGATTTATAATAAATTACACTTAAAATAAATAGTTTATGAGAATAAAGGTATTTTTGTAGGAACAGGGGTGCCAGACGTGAACTGATCCCTTCGTCCCTTCATATTGTATGAATAAATTATTCAATTTCCAAAACCCTTAAAAGCGTATGGCACTGGATCTCTTGACAGGCAATGATTTATTACTTTGCATCGAATATGATCTTATTTATAGTTATTGTCTTCACCTACCGACTACGGTGGGTTCTAGATCGACGAAAACTGCCCTGGGCACGTGCTTGCCGGCCCCCGTTTCGCTGAAGAAGGTGTTGAAGGAGTCGTCTCCACCGCCGATGGTCTTGTCAGATGGCATTTGACCGTCAGGTTGGATGCCATGTTCCAAGCAGTAAAGTTCCCAGCAGGCATTGCCAATCTGGACGCCAGCTTGGCCGATGTGGACAGAGATGCATTCCCTCTAAAAAAAAAAGAGAAAGATTAGTGGGCAGAAACAACGTTTTAGAGACGTAAAGAAAGCCTGGAGGAAAATAGAGCAAGAGGCAGTGCTTGGTCTATGACAATACAAAATTATAGGTAACTTTTTTATATTTCTTGTCCTCAAAAATTGATTATTTGTAAATGTAAAGTGCCTTTACTTTTGCTCTTTCGAAAAAGCGATATTTAGCAGAAACTATGCAATAAAGTTACTACAGTTTTTAAATAAAACATGAAACTAATTTACATTTTTTAGAAAACGTCCTTTTATTCACTCTAACCGTGGACATACTGTATATTTGTATACCCACAGAGCAAAAAATATATATAGAAATTTTATCATTTCATTGAATTGAAGCATCTAAAACTGTAGTTAGAAGAAAATATAGTTAAAACGATTCAGAGAAACATTTTATTTCCCATTAGCTAAAACCGCCTGTGCATAAATGCAAAAAAAAATTGCATAAAATGCATCCTCTTAGCCACGGTCCGTGGTGCGTAATTGAAACTAGTGGTTGCAATTCTGTCTGTTTTATTCACGCTGTGCCTTTTAGTTGTTAGTACCACTTTTTAAGGCAAGGAATTGTTACAAATTATACAGATTTGCGGTCGCCATTAAAGAAGTTCACAATTCACGGCAGATCGTAAATTATAATAACCGTTTGCTGACGCAGAACGCCATTCCATGATTACGATCGTTATTTAGTTGGGATGGTGAAACCCTGAGAAAGGATGTATGAATCCCAAGTTTGTCTTCGTGTCATCTGTTTGAAGAAAAAAAAATATACACATACCTACAACCTACATAAAGTATTTGAAACTATTATTTCAAATGAAGATGGAAAGAAATAGATTCAGATTCAGTTCGCCAACCAACTTTATGGGTGTTATCGAGAAAGAACATTTATTTGGTAAACTTTGTTGAATAGAAACTGGAAAGAGACGAACGTGACATTTTCTGAGATCATAATTACTTTTAAGATTGATACAACTTATAGCATTGCATTCTAAAAAAAAGGTCACGCAAACAGCGACTTACCGATATGCCGATATGATAGACGATAATATTAGATCTTTTTTCTGGGGTGGGCCGTACCACCCCTGCTCCCCCTTAGCTACCTACGCCCATGATTATAATTAATATAGGGTCAAATGTAAAAGGTATTAATTCCATAAAATCTAATTCATATGAATTTAAGTGTTTTATAGCCATTATACTATCTTTCTACAGAGTGTTTTATAACCATTACACTATCTTTATAGACCATGTTTCACTTTATCATTCGATTATTTATTCATAGGACTTTTTAGTGTTTATATTTAAAAAAACATTTTATACGACGAACGATTTGTCTGATTAAAAATAAACATTTACTAAATTTGATTATAAAGTCACTGCTTGTAACTCATTGTGGTGATTTTAAGAAAAAAAAACTGTTTTATTCTAAAAACGGACCATTTTTGACTTATTTTTGCTTTTTTTTACTTATATTAAGTCAGCTACCAAATACCCGGAGTTTTCCCCAATAGTTTTTTCCCGGACTCTTTCCCCGGAGTTTCCCCCGGACTTTTGCATAAAACAGCTGGTACACATTTGTCTGTTTATGCTCAAAGCGTGACTGTCCAACAGCTAATAACATTTTGCTACTTTTTATTACAGCATTTGTTTTATAATCGAAGCTCCACTTCCAAAGCTTCAGTGCGTTTATTTCCCAACAATTAGGGAGCGTGTTTAAACTGAAACACTTGTTTTTTATGATTTCTTATACGGTCTAAAAATAACCGTTTCTATTAAAAGTTGTTTTTTCAAAATTTAGGAGCAAAATTTCTTTTATATGGTACCAGTACTAACCAATCAACAGTTAAAGAAACGAATTGTAACTACATATTTTGATTTGGAGCTCGCTGTAAGTACAAGATTTGCAACTTTTTTAAATATGTTAGATTTAGCTCAAATTAAATATCGCTGATCATAATGAGGATCATTTTCATTTTATTCAGTAAATTAAAATAAATAAGACGACTTAAATCTTTCATATGTATAGCCGGTATTTCATTAAATTTTACCAGTACCCTTTCCACATAGTGCATTTTTTATTAGGTGTAAATACTTAAAGCGTGTGTACGTCTATATTATATTAAAGAGATATGCCGCCATTAGAATAAAAAGCGTACTAATTAATGTTATCGATGTTTAATTAACAGCAATTAAAAACGCAGGGATAATGTTTATTATTTATTATTTATTACAAACTTTAATGAGCTTCTCAGTAAGGGAAAAGAATATTTGTACTCGTTTAACTTGGACTGAAATGATTTTACACAGAAATAAATATAATACAGTAAAAAAGATGGACGTTGCTCTCACGTTCAGGCGATTTTATGTCTGGTTTCATTATGATTAACTGTAAAAGCGTTTTAAGTATCTATTTACGTTCAATTTTATTTGTGGGATGGTTTAATAATTGAAATAGTACTCAAAAGTGCAATACACTACAACATTCCAAATATACATGGATTTTTTTATTATTTGTGTTAAATATACTAAAAAACTATGAAAATATTAATGTTGTTTATACAATTTTGGGGTATAATAGTATAAGTAGATAGTTTTCATTATATACACAAAGTAAATAATTTTTAATACACTGTGCATTAGTGGCTATGGTAACCACAATCATTAAAACTACAACAATGTAGTTTTCTAGCTTTTCGTGAGAAAAACAATATTCGAGGCAGTAAAAATCCTAGCCGTAATACGCTCTTGCATAAATCAGAACAAATACTAAACGAAAAACCCAACCTTTTTTCATTATCCACATGAATGTAATGCACGGAAACTATAATATACAGGGTGTCCCAGAATATGTGGGCAATCTCTCGGATTTATACAGGGGGGAAGTTAAAATAACATGACAAGTCCCTATAATTTTTTTTTCCCTAGAGAGTCCTGTGGTCCCCCTACGGAGATACAGGACCCTAAATGACTCCCCTGAACATCGATTTTTTTTAATAACTTAACTTAAAATAGTTTGTGTAATTTAATTATTTTTTAATACGATGGACTCCTTAAAAATTGACCCATGAAAACAATTTGGCTCATTTGGTTTGCCAGGGACGGACTAGCACAATAATGTTAATTTTTTTTTACACCCTTTACGATAAAGGCACAAAAATAATATTTTTAGATAGCTTGAACCTTGAATTAAAAAAAGACTCTTGGTTGATATCGATAAAATGAACTGTTTTCGAGAAAAAACTATTTGTGTTTAATATGATTTTTATAATGTTATAATGTTATGTTATGTTAATGTTATGTTATGTTATGTTAATGTTACATTGTTATAATGATTTTTATAATGTTGTTTAATATGTTTTTTCCTAAAAATAATTAAATTACACAAGTATTTTAAGTTATTAAAAAAACTGGATTTTCAGGGGCGTCGTTTAGGGAAAATTTTTATAGGAATTTGTCATGTTATTTTAACGTCCCCTGTATAAATCCCCAGATTGCCTACATATTCTGGACACCCTGTATAAAAGTACAATAAAAATATTATTATTTCGGTTTATTTTTTGCTTTTTACTAACCATGACAAAACATTTTGGAGTAAGAAGACATTGTGGCAAAATCAAGTAGGTTATGGCAGAAGGCATTCATTTGTTATTTAATTTTCTCAACGATTATTGAAGAATAAACAAACACTGTTTGTGTAAAATTCGCGTTATTGTTGTAATTTTTAATTCGGACGATATTTTATTTTTTGTCCTGTCTTTATACCTACTTAGATAAATCATGGGGATCAATGTCGTGTGACCGATGACTGCACCAACCAGTTGACTCACGACGGCAGTTTTGTAACGAGATTACGAAACAGAATAATTACGCGATTTTTTTTTTTTAAACAAAACCCGTAATTAATCGTGTAACAAAAACGAGCCTGTACCTTGCAATTACGGTGTACGTGTAGGCAGAAAACAATTAAAATAAGGAGCGAGTATCCAATAAACCAGACAGGAATAAAAATTGTGAAACCAACGACCGCGCCAGCCTCAGCGATGATATACAGGGCGACGCTCGAAAGCTGTGTTTCTTTGCCAACAATCAAAAATTGAATCAAGTCTAGTTGCTAGTGTCATTAAGATGAAATTGCGCCAAAAACCACACCACACTACAAATATTGTTATGGGTCTATTATACAGGGTGACCAAATAGCGACGGTTGACCTCCATTAGAGGGAAATCAAAAGGGCAAATAGGAAATGATCATTACTGACATATTTTTAAATAAAATTAACATTATTTACAATAATTAATACTCATTTAAAAATGCTGTATATGTTTTTGATTTTTGGGAAACTCGGAAAAATTCGAAATTAGCAATACGGCTTTATAAAAACAAATCATTTGTCAATAATGAATATAAATGTTGAAGTGTCTTGTTCTCAGTGGTAATGCTCACAAAATCAGTAAAAAACTTGATAGAACCAGTGTTTTTATCTATAAGTACATATAGTTTTATATATTTTGAACGGGAAGAGATATCGAAAAACTTTTTTAATAAGAGTTGTAGAGAAAATTGAGAACTTTCATATGATGTATAAAAAATATGTGAAATTTTGAAAAATTATTTCAATACCGTCAAAGCGCTTTGGGTGATAAATTTACCAAGATGGAATCTTTGCTATGTTGTTCTTCATTTTATTAATTTTATTGTCCAACCTTAGTGTTACCCAATACAAAATATGAAATAGATATTTATTTAGCAGTGTGTATGTTTCCCTGTATATAAATATTGCAAAACCATCAAGCGTGACATGCTAGCGATGATGTAGGTACCCCGGTGATTGAATCAAGAAAAAATGCAAATACGTACAGTTCGTTTACATTCACAAATGCAAAAATGTGTACGAGTGGTAATTGTTAATTGTTACACCCGACGCTTTGGTAGGCACTTGTTTTGCTTATCACGGCGCGATCTTG